AAGGAAGATGAGCACTAAAAGTCAAAATCACGTGATTTAGATCACCGGTTCCAAAGTTGCCATTTTTCGATTCATTATTTCTAGCAGAGCGCAAACATCTTGAATACAAATAATAATCACCCTGAATGAAGGCCTCCTGGAAATTACGGTGTTATCTTAAATTCCATTTTAGCCTATATCCGCTGATCATTTGAGAAGTTAAGCATATAATACGAAGCCGCAGCCACCATGGCACCCTCTGATGACCTTAAATCGCATGCCGCCTCCTCTCATGACTTCTACGCGCTACTAAGCTTGCCTCCCACCGCCGCGGAAGCGGAGATTCGCCGCGCATATCGGAGGACGGCATTAAAATATCATCCGGATAAACTTACGAACCCTACGCCTGCGGACATCGACAAATTCCATCGTCTTCAGATCGCCTACGATGTGCTCTCAGATCCGTCGATACGACAACTCTACGACAATGCGCGCGAAGCACGGGAGAGAAAGAAGAGGGAGACTGAGATGCTGGAAGGGGTTAGGCGTAAGATGAAGGAGGACTTAGAGGCAAGGGAGCGTGGTGTAAAACGGACATGGACTGGGGTTCCCATGCAGGGAAATCTTGGTGTTGATGATAATGCGGAAGAGAAACTGGAACAAGAGATTAAGAGACTAGCAGAGGATGGGAGAAGGAGAAGACGAGAGAAGGAAGAATTACTGAGGAGGGAGGTATTAGAGGAAGAGGAAAGGCTGGAGTTAGAAAAGGAAGAGAGGGAACGTGCCGCCCAGTGCGAGAGTAGAGCCCGTCACCCAAATGTCGGAGGTACATCGGTTCCTGAGATTGATAGAACTGTCAAAGTCCGTTGGCCTCGGGAAGGTGCTGGATTAGAATTGGATAAGGATCGTCTTGAATTACTCTTCTCCGTCTTCGGCAAGGTTGACAGTGCGTTTACACTTAAAGACAAAAGACAAAGAGTGGGTGAGAAGAAGGAAAGAAAGACAGTGGCGACTGGAGTTGTTGTCTTTGCCTCTATTGTTGGCGCCCATGCTGCAGTGGGAGACTATAAGCACCAGAAGGGCAAAGATTGGGAGATAATCGAATCAGTTTATTGGGCCTCGAATAAGGAACCTGATTTCCATAGACCATCAGCTTTTCCACACCAACAGGAAGAGCAGACAAGATCAACCGCGCCTACTTCTATCTCGGCCACCAAATCAAGGGATAAATTTAATTTTCCAGGACTCAACACATCATCGTCTCCTGCTAAAGAAGAAGAACATGGACTGAAGAAGACTCCATCGTTTGCCTCTTTCTCACCCGCTGAATTCAAGAGACCAAATGGTTCGTCCTCAACAGGACACTTCGGCCTTAGGCCAAACAGCCCTAGTTTAGAAGAGCTCACTATGATTCGGTTAAAGAATGCTGAGAGAAAAAAGCTGGAAGAGCAGATTAAGAAAGAGGATGAGCTGCTGCCGCTGCAGCAGGATGAAAAATCGCGTGAATTTGGCGTGCTGTCTGGATCAAAGACATAACCGTGAAAGCAACCGAGCCTGTATGGATCTTCTTTTGAATCATATATATTTAAATTTTTAGAGATACCCCTTTACAGATATACATATTCTAATTAAGGCTTCATCCACAGGACTCCAGCGACTGACTCTCAGCCTTATTATTCCTATTCGAAATAGCGACCCGCCGTCAAGGCCAAATCCTCGGAATCATGACAAAAGGATAAGACTATAATACAATGAATGCCAGAACATTTTACTCACCCTCCCGGCCCTCAACATCCTCAATCTGACCCTCCAGCTTCTCCAATTCTACTGCAATCTCTTAATCGCTCTTTGGGGTTGGCATACTCGGCTTCTTCGCCCCTCCACTAACGATAAAATCCCTCATCCACGGTGGGACCAACGCTTTAACCTTAACCTCCCCAGTCTTTTCAACTCCCGCTTCTGGATCAGCCTCCCAGGATATTTTGAATTCCTGGTCGGGGCCATATTGCGATGACTCATCCGTAAAAACAATATCCGTCATCATCTCCAATCGACAGAGCGCAAGCCCGATATTCCCCACGCCAGAGAGGAATTTTCCAGCACTCCGGCCCTTCTTTGAGCTCACCTTTGCTATATTAGCTCCAGCAGGCGGTAACACCAACTTAGATTCTGATGAGTAATACGGTATCTCAGTCTTTGGCATCGTTTCGTCTATATCATAAAGCTGCACCGGCAATATCCGCTTACGGACCACTCCCCTATGATGAGTGCGGATGGTCAACTCTTGTCCAGTGTAACAGCCCTTATGGAAATCAATACCCCCCATTATATCCATATTGCATTCCATCGGCAATGCAGATTCTCTAATAATCTCACTCTGGCCCTCTGGCACACCATGTAAAATCCGACGTAGATTATATGTAGCAAAATCAACCATCTCACCGGGCATAATCGGCTGCTCGTTCACGACCTTCTCCGGCGCGAGGAAGCGGAACCCAAACCCACGAGCGCGCGTATCCACGCACGTAAAAGTGGGTGACTTTCCATTATCCAGT